TAAGAACCAACAATTTTTCCGAAAAAATAATTTTTTTTTGATACTTTTATAATTCCACATAAATATTTGATTCAACATTGAAAGCATATAATACCAATTTTTTGCATGAAAAATTAAAAAAAAATCATGGACACCTTAAGAAAGGACCTTTCTATCACTTGCTCCAGCTGACCAAATATTGACATTAGGACAAAAATTGTACCTTAGAATGAAATAAATTTTTATTTTCAGAGGAAATATCGCAATATCCTTTTAGGGCCCACACTAATATACATTTTCTATTCAAACCTACTGACCTGAGTAATTATAATTAAGTAGAAAAATAGATTGTGTTTGTATAAAAAATGTAATTAATTATGGATATTTGTTACAGAAATGAGAATAAAAAAACATGGTGTCACACAGAAGCATAGCCATATACATTTTTTCACTAAAAAATCCTGAAATTTAATTGAACCTAACTCCGTTCATTTATTTTCCCAGCAATTACTCGCAATGAGAGAGTAAAATAGAAATTCACAAAATTACTCCCTAAAATCCTCAAAAATAGAAAAGAAGTAAATGAACGCTTTACCAGTAAAAACTTTTAAGTAAACAAATGTATAATTTTAGATTCGGTATTTTGTTTTGAAATTAGAATTAAAGCTTCCAAAATAAGCTTAGTACCCTTTTCAACAATTTTCCAAAACTTCATAAAAAATGTTAATGAAAATTATATGGAATAATGTTGCGAAAGTATTATTATGGTTGTATTGCTGAAAAATATTTGACATGTTTCTAACAACATTCTAGCAACATTTTTTCAATTGTGTGAAATAGTACATAGATTTTAGTTATTTCATCTGAAATTTCTAAAAAAAAGTTTATTTACAAATCTTAAATTGTTGGAATCCTTTATAATTTCTATTTAAAACCAACGTATTTATAAAACCGAATTAGTGAATTGCTATCTATTTAGCAAACATAAAAATGTCAGTATTGAAATCATCTATAAAAAAATAAAATAAGTGGAAAAAAGTTATCTGGGATTGATCTGTATCTGGTGAACAAAATATCATCTTTTATCTCCGACACCTTATTAGTTTACTGAAGTTAGTATAAATAACTTCAAAATAATAATAAATCTTCACATATGGCAACACTGTGAAAAAGTATCCAATGTTAAAAATCTATGATGCTCAACTAAATACACAGACGATGGTCACGATGATGTCGATGTTGACATGAAAAAATTTCTTGACTTTTGACCGTAAAGTGTTTTTATAGATGTTTTTTTCTTTAGTTCGCTTTTCACTACTTCTTCATTAGCATTTTAACTCATTATTTTAACACGATGATGACATTGGAGGCAAGTACTTACCATGCTCGCTTACAAATCACTACTTAAATAAGTACTTACAATAAAGACAAAAAAATTGCTTCTTTTTCGATATTTCACTGTCATATATACAATACCACCAAAAACAGTTGCTAGGGTGCGATGCAATAGAAGCAAGCTTAAGCCATTTCCTTTAAGAGCTTTGTAGACACTTAAATGAAACGTATTTTCAAATAGTATTAGTAAGTAATCATTTCATGTGGCTATTAATTTTTTGGTTAATTAAGTGGTTTTGAACTACTTTAGAAACTAAAAATCCAAATTTTGAAAGGCCATACAAAAGGAGAAAGAGCTAAACGAGATACTCAACCTGTATTTTAGCGACTTTATCTATTACAAATACAGAATTTTTACATAGGACCAATTCTCATAAAATTTGATAGATAGATTAGGTTCCTATACAACTTTTTTGTGTCGAATTTCATTGCTATACAAGCATTTTTAAGTAATTTTCTGGAGGGAACCGAATATGGGAGCTAGGGTTAATAATGAACCAATTCTCATGGCGATTGCTTCAAAATTAACGTATTTATGAGTATTTAAGCAAATTTTTGGGTGGTCACTTGTAACGGGGCTAGGAGAAAGCTTTAACCTATATTGCCCATTGTCAGCGTCAATCCCGAAGAAGAAATTTTTTAATGAAAAGGCATAGCGCATGTTATTCCATATTTTAGAAATTCTGTAAAAAGCTAAATTTCTGAATTGTATAAAATACCATTCTTCCATAGTGCATAAGCAATTTACATATAAAATGCCACAAAAATAAATGTTTATCACTATTATAGTTTTGACGTTTCCATAACTTCTCATCAACGAACCATTGTTTAATTATTTAAAGTTTACATTAATTTAATTGCCCCATAGGAGATCATTTTCGATACATGCTGAAAAGAAATCAATTTAATTCCAAATTGAAAAACATCAGAATTTTATTTACATGTAAAAAAGATCTGTATCAATTTTTTAAAGTGTGACTATAAAATGGAAATAAAACCAAATAATATACTTATTATGTTGAGTGTCATAATACATTTAATTCGCAATTAATGTAAACAATTAATTAATATTATATTGAATAATTATGACACGTTATTGCCCGTCTATGAAGATTTTTATTTTCATGCATACAGTTATTATTTTTTATTAATTCAACTGTGCTCTTGAACATATGTATGTATGCATACATACGGGGGATTTCATGTCAAATGACCCTGAAACTGATGTTTCCCGATCGAGATGAAATTTTCACCTAACATTAGTGCTATTGGATAGTAGATTAGACACAATTTTTCTACAAGATCGGTCAAAATTTTCTGAGTTACAGTGGGTCAAAGTAAGACATTTTGCCAAAGATGTGTTACTTTACTATTTCTTATCTATTTAACATATTACTATTGTTCTTATCAACATTTTTTCAAACAAAAAATATTTAAAAATATAGAAAAAGTTTGGACTTTTTTTTTGGAAAATTTCAACGTTTTGCATGTGATTATATTTTAAAAAAAGTCGGCCAAAGTATAAAAAATGTTTAAGTTTTAATTTTCAAATGGCTATATCTTAAAAAATATTAAGCGACATGGCCACGCATCAAATTTGTTGACTCAAACGGTAAGTTTTTTAATTGTGTTAGTAAAAAAACTCACATGTATATATGCGGTGTGAGTATTTTTACTAATACAATTTAAAAACTTACCGTTTGAGTCAACCAAATTGTATGTGTCGCCAAGGCGCTTAAGATATTAATCTCGCTGAGCATTTTTAAAATATATAAAAATCGTTCAAATCGGAAGGGAAGGAAAGAAATAAGAATGTATATATAACTATATATAGAAAAAGCAAAGTTTTTAAGTTTAAATTCCCCATATGTATAATTTAACAGATATTTTTAAAATAATTTCCATATACATAAATACATTTACGTATTATATTATTTGGATTATCAGATAAAAGTAGTTCAGACTATGAGAATTTACGTACGACTTTACGTATGGAAAATCAAATGAAATTTCATTCGTATTAAAAAAAAAAACAGGATAAGAGTCGTATTATTTATATTTTTTGGTGTTTACACTATTGGTATAACACAATAACAAAGTAAGATAAAAATACGTCCCTGATCTAATGTGACTTGCTTGTTTTCTTAATCATTTGAAAAAAATGGTATGGCTCTTTTCAGTGTCAAATTTTCCCACCGTATTTTCTCTCAATGTGTGTTGGTTTCATTACATTTTGATAGATCATATTTCTTGTGATATAATGTAAACTGGCTTTAAATACATACATACATATGTATATGCATATGTATGTATGTATATTATTCATTATAATTGAAAAATCATAAATGGGTTATTTTATAAATTAAAATGATTAAGCGTGATACCAGCGACTATTGCTCTCTTTATAATGTTAATTCGTTAGGATGATTTAAATTTTTTTATTATTTCGTTTTAACAAAATAAAATATTTATTTTGGAGATTTATAGGACGCCGTGCGAAATTATTAAATAATTTTAAAATCAAATTCAATTTCCTTAATGTTATTTTAAATATTGTCTTTTTTGTAGTAAACTAGATATACAATGTGCTTTGTTACCCTAAAGTCATTTTTCTCCCAAATGTTCAAATAGATATTAAAATTCTTTGTACAAAATTTCAAGAATCTGGATCCAATAGTTTAATAAACGAATTTTTTAAATTACTTTTAATATAATAATTGTTATACTCAATCCGTATGGGAGTAACCAAGATCCTCTTATAAAAGTCCGTTCATTTTTATCCCAAACTTTCACATGGATGTTAAAAGTCTTTGTGCAAAATTTGATGATTCTATCTCAGAAGTTTTCCGGATAAACCAATTTTAATATTTAGTTCATATGGGAGGTGTCACGCCCCCTTCTTCTAGTCCGCCCATTTTACGACCTAAACATTCATGTTGATACTAAAGTGCCTCCGAAAAAACGTTGACTTTGACTGCGTGCAGTAGAACAGTATTCAGCATTTCGCAAAAATCAAGTGCGAATTTTAATATATTGGTGTGTTGGTAATAGGATGATATCAAAAAATAAATTATATTCATTGTTCCAAAATTTTAATTTCGCACAGCAATTTTCCAGGTAGTTTTGTATGCGAAATCAACTAGATTTGGCTCGAAATCTCAGAAGTGGATGTCTATCAGTTGATACCTAACTCAGTCATCATTTGTTACCCAAATCTAAGAATGTTGGTAGAAGTTTTGTATAAGTATTGGAGCACCAAGCCCACATAGTTGCATAAAATCGTATTTAAAAATATAAAATGTATAAAAAAATATATAAAGTTTAAACTTCTATTTTCACAGATTTTTACATTTGTTTTGGTCTACATCTGATCTGCAAATATTTGATAAATATATTTTTTGGACTTAAAAAAATTAAGTTTATTTTTGATTTTTTTTATTCTCCATAACAAAATTCAAAACTCTATTTTTCAGATTTAATTCCAACAATCAAAAATTAATTGTCGAAAAAAAATAAAAAAATATATATTTTTTTATTAAAAAATATCTAGACATTGAGAAAATGTCTCACTTGGATATGGTATAATTTAATTAAATAAGTACATAATACACATATTTATGTATATTTCAAACATAATCCACACCAATCCACTCCTGTATTGTGTTTTTTTGCTTCTCAATTTGATCGCCCATTTCTTGTGTCATTCGAAATTGTATTAAAATTAAAAGATAGTTAAATATTTGTGAATAAACCTAAATGAAATATATAGAAAAATACAAACGATTAATAAGTTTAAACATAAAAGCAAGCATTATACCTCTTCCAATATATTGCATTTGAAGACATTCTAATTTCGTTAAGTGGATAAAAAAATAAATCGAGTTTGAAGCATTTTTGACCTTGCAGTACGTCATTATTTCACCACGTTTTACATTAACCAAAAGAATATGATATAAGGAGGGTACTATTGATTTTGGTAGCGATCATAAGTTAATATACTACTTAGTATGTTTAACGTGTTATTGTAATTTCATTAGAATATTTCCCAAAATATGTTGATTTTTGCAATATTTCTAATTAAGGCGGATTGAGAATCTTAACTAACTATCTCGGAAATTTCTAATAACTAAAGTTTTTTAGGTATGTTTATATTTATGTATGTATACAAATTGCATTGAATTTTTTATTGTTTAAATGAAAACTTAGAATTTATTTTTAAAATGTTTGCATAAACTGAAAAAATCATATTTTCCCTCGTAAAAGCATCTATAACTTTCAGAACCGTTGGGGCACCAGTTAACTTGGTCCTATCGTCCCAATTAAAGGATTTTTAAATCAGCGGGTCCATAAACAATGATTAGAGTGTCCCGAGGAATAGCCTTTTTAAGAATTTCATGTAGGAATACCTCTCAATCGATGGGAATTAATGTACTGAATACCAAAAAAATAAAAAATATTGTTTTTTCGAATGGTCCTCAGTTCCCTACCAGCGATTGAAAATCCTGACCTCAGTATAATTTGTGAAAAATAAAGTATTTTCGATTATTTTAAAATGGGTCTCAAAAATTCCGTAATTTTGAGCTGATTAAGATTTTGTAGAGTATTTTTGGTCCACAAAATGATTTTTAGTGGGTTGGAGAGGCATATTGTTTTCACTTTTTATCGAAATGGGTGTCAAAATTGTCGTAATTTTTAGCTCATACAGAAAAATATTTAAAAAATTGTTTTGCATTTGGTTTAGTCCATTTTATAATTTTAAAATTTTTTTTTAATGTTATATGCCCCTTATAATACAATAAAAGTCGTTTTGCGGACCAAAAATACACTAACAAAAATTGTAATTATTTTTCCCGCGATAAGCTCAAAATTATGGAATTTTTGAGACCCATTTCGAAAAGATTGCAAAAAATATTTTTTGAGCACATTGTACTGAGATCATGATTTTCAATCGCTGGTAGGGAAGTGAGGGCGTTTTCAAAAAAATTATTTTTTATTTTTCTCGTATTTAGTACATTAATACGCTGGTTTGAGAGGTATTCCTCCAAAAAAGTTGTCCACGGGACATCCTAATGCATATGCATAAGATCCGAAATATATTCACAGTTCTGGAAAAACATGAGTTTCTCCATTGCTTACTCTTATTTCGCACGAATTAATGAAGTTCATTACGGTCTTTTTTATGATGACTTTATAACAAATTCGAAATCATCAGTCAGCTTGAGTTCTTTTCCAAAAATAATTTTTTTAGGTGTTCGAGAGGTGGAGTCGTGAACGGTCGTTCGGTAGGCCAGCAGAAATTTTGGTTTGTGTTCATCCCAGTCCTTCTGATATTTGCCAGTGTTGCCAACTTAGTGCTTTTAGCACTATTTGCGGTGCTTTTTGATGTACCTAACGCGGACAATTTTTCTCATGGTGCCTTTTTTTAAAAAGGCACTATAGTGGTGCTTTTCTAATTTTATGACAGTGCATTTAGTGCTTTTTGTAATATTTTAAATCTTATTTTGTGATTTTCAGGAATTAATTAAGTAAATTAATCTTTAACATTAAGTAAATTAATCTTTAACATTAACATTATAGAGAAAATGTTAAGAAAACTGATAATTTTTGATCACTTTATGTGTACAACTTTTTGTTGGAACCGTTTAATAGTCCATACTCAGGGTCTAAATTTTACTTAAAAAACTGTTTTAAATTTTAGAAACCTAACATAACTCTTTGACGTAAATGGGGCACTGTTATTCCAAAGTTTGTTTTTGCATTTATTTAAATTAACTCGTTATTTTTTAAAACCTTTTTGGTGTTCTGCAAATCGAATTTTTATTTGAACGCAAAATTCAGAAAAATAAACATATTTAAATGAAAAAGAGTTTAAAATTCCCATAGCATTTATATTTAGTTACAATTGTATTAAAAAAACGCAAAAAATAATTATTTAATTTATTAGAATAAAATTAAATTCGATTTACTTTCGACTAGATTTGTGTACTCGGTTTTAAAACGAGAAAAATTATGAGAACTCGTTTTTAAACAAGAAATTTGCTCGGATTCGGTTTACAGAACAGACAGGAATATGTATTTCTTTGTATTTTTAAACATCAGGGCAGATGACTGGTTTGAAGTGGTTTTATTTAGAGAAATATATATTTTGAAAAAAAATATTTCATAAGTTTTGTACAATTTTACAATTTGGGTGTGGATGCATCGGTAGGCGGAAAATCGGTTATCGGAATATTTTTTTGAAAAATAATTTAATAATTTGAATAACATAGAACGCAAAACCATTGGAAATCAAAGGAAGCACATAAAAGTGTGTGCCGTTCATTTGGATATTTTGAAGTTTTTTTCTTTTCAGTTCTTTTATATTTGACATAATAAGGAAGTTAACGGTTGTATCATGAGGGATTTGAAAACTTAAACTTTAGTATGAAGCATGTTTTGTAGCTCTCAGTTCAAAAAAAAAATTTTGGAGTATGCCAGTCTTGTAGTAAATGAGCAATATGATGTGCAATTTTTATTAAAATTTATTTTATTTTACTAAAAAAAACGTTAGTGTTTTTTTACCCCTTTTTAATTTTTTCGCGCGCGTTTTGCTTGACCAATGTTGGCAACACTGATATTTGCTAAACACTTTTCTCAAATATTCCTCCAGTGTGTGACCATGCCATCGGATTGAGGTATAGTGGAGTTGTTCTGTTTTTTTTATCCCCTATAAATCTCACATTTCCTTGAATACGGCGCATTTAAAATTTCTGCCCTAGTCAGAGTGTAACTCTATTGGAACACCATAACGACATATCCAATTGTTCACAAATACGCCTACATGAACATTTTTATTCTACTGTCTATATGCTGTCTGTTAATTACAATATTGGTTGAGGTAAATTAACAATTAACCTTACTTACCACCGCTATAATTTGTTTATTGAAAATCATAGTGCCACAGAAAAACTCAATAGTATTGTCTTTGCGCCACAGTAAACATGAGGAAACCATTTGACGCACTTCAGTGTTGTGAGGAAACCAACATTCTGTGTCCATAATAATTTTAAAGCATTTTTTACCCTGAAATATCATAAACATGTACATATTTATTAAACACAGTATAACTTTTCAAAGTTTACACTCTGTTACAAAACTACTTTTGAAAAAATTGAGTTTGTCTTCCAACTTCCTCTTAAAAAAGTCGGGTTGAAGAATTTTAAATAAAAATGTTTAAGTCCGGCAACAATTAATCCGTTTGTTTTTGGATAACTACCGGATAAAAATTCAAAATATAGTCGTATACATCAAGATCTACAAATATGCTCTGGCTCACATGGTGAGTTATTTTCACTGTCGCATCGTGTCTAATGGACTAAGTCATATGCATAAGTATGTAATATTTCAATTTAATTTAAAATACAAACCTCACGAATTGCTTTGTCACAATATATGGGCGCTATGGTCATCTTATAGAGGGGCAGAATCATGCAAACGGCCACATACCAAATCAAAGTATTCTCCCTGTGAGTGTTCTTTGAGGAGCCACCAAATATTAAATAAAACTCGCTTGTCGTCAAAGTAAAATCATGTAACAGAGTCGATGCTAAGCACACGGCATACACCTTGTTTATATGACGTATACAGACATGATACTCTTGCACAAGGGAGATGAGGCTACGCAAGCAATCTACCTGTTGGGGTGCACTTAATCTCGAAGAACACACAACATGCTTGGACAGCAATTTTTGCAAAAGACGGAAACGAATGCTTAATATCTCGGCCATATTCATTTGGGCATAACAATTCATGTGGGGACCACCGGTCACTGCCGTATAAGCTAGTCCAGCTAATAGGTTTACTACAAATTCCTGGCCATGTGATGCTCGTGAAACTGCTAGTACGATTACAGTCATATAAATGACGGCTACAGAGAACAAGAGCAAGACATGCTTCCTCATTAATTTCTCGTAATTCAGTTTGCAGGGAAATTCCTTTAAGAGTTTTTCATCCAAGTGCTGAATGCGTGCATACAGTTGCAAGTTCGCGTCCATGTTCGACAACATGCTGATGACAGTTGTAAGATACATGAACGTGGACATGCCTATCTCCAGGTATATTATGGATTTTATCAGGCTATCTAGATTTTCAACTTGAGGATCTCGTAGTTTGACATACATGCAGCCCATGAGGCTGCCCAAATACCAACACACGGCTAGCCATGTAATGAACAGAGATTTACGATTGTATTGGAAACGATCTCCTTGTTTCGTAAATCCACTGCATCCCAAACTGAATAAAATGAAACAAAACACTTTGCAGCAGTCATAAATTGTATTCGGATTCGAGAAAAATCTTCTTAATACCGCCATAATACCCTCTCACCAAAGCATACTGTTACAAATTATGTTGAACGAATGAACAAATGTACAAATGTATGATATGTGGATTTTTTGTTCTCGTATAAATGACAATGAGTTTTAATTGTCGTGACCACTGAAACCCGACTAAATTTCATTTATTGTTGCTCGTAATTTAATGCTTCCCAAATGTTGCAATGTCGACTTTTCTAACACAGATTGTGTGTTTGGGAGTACATATACTATTTATTTAAGTCAGCGTGCATATGCCAGATTGTTTGGTTGCGTTAGAGATTACAGTGTGATTAAATTGGCATTACGATATTTGATGGCCCCTAAGTATTTACATATTTTAATTTTGTTTACTGGAAATTAAAGCCAAAGTATGTACGTATCGCTCATTTACTACAAGACTGGCATAATCCAAAATTCGGTGTTTTTGAACTGAGAGCTACAAAACACGTCACTATGGTTCAAACTACCAGTTTTCCTGTACGAAATAAAAATTTTGGAACAGTGAATATAATTTATGTTTTGATATCATATTACCAATACGCCAATATATCCAAATTCGCAATTGATTTTTGCGAAATATTAAACGCAGTTAAAGTCATCATTCAAAACATTTTAAAATTTGGAAAGCGAACACTTAGAGGTGTCAGTAGTTCATATATATTCTTGTAAATGCTTGGAAATAATATCCCTTTACTTCAAAAAGACAATATTTAAAATAATCTAAAAGAAATTGAATTTGATTTTTATTGAAAAGTCGTTCCAAAATGAAAAAAGGTGTATTATATAAGTCCTCTTAATTGTAGTAAATGGGTTAATGGCCATAAAGGGTTAATTTTCTCTTCAATTTGTTCTAATATACCTATTTATCCCTTTGCTTTAAAGAGTTTTATTATTTTGTCGTTATTAATTTCGTACAGAAAATGTGATGATTTGAACCAATGTGAATGCGTCCCTAAAAAAGTCTTTCATATACATAGTTTATCAAATTTTAAATATTTGTGTTTTTTGTGGAAAACGTAAAAACTAAAATTAATATTTTCATGTTTAAATTTTAATGAGAAACATATTAACCTAATTTTGATTTTCCTTGATTTGTTTAAAATTTACTTAAAAAAAGTAAAATGTCATAAACATTTAATGCCATTTTTCTCGAAACTACTTTTTTTGGTTATAACAGTTTTGTAGTAAATGAGAATATGTTTTTTTTTGGATTTAAATGTGTATGTGTTTTGGCGTTTACAACCCTAATTGTTAATTACGTTAATGGGTTATTATGATAGTATCGATTACTGCTTTTGACTGGATTTTCAAATTTACACATTATTTTTTTATTTTGATTAAAATGAAGTGTTTGATTATTATCTGGAAAGTTCTGAGGATATTTTCAGTTAAAAATGGTAAGATTATATGTATCGGTTCAAATTCCTGTTGTTAAAATTGTTATGTACATTAGGGTAGCCCCAAAATCGAAATTTCTGATGTTCCCATGAAAATTTAGTTCATTCCACCATTTCTCAAAATCTTTATCCTGACGTCAATATTTGGCGAGCTGGATCAAAGGATAAAAAGCTCATTTTTTAAGGTTTTTATGATTTTTATCATATTTCTTGCAAATAAACCATATGCAAATTTGGTATCATATTTCAATGACATAACACAATTTTGTATACAACTCCAAAATTATTACAAATGTCGATTTTTTCATTATAAACCTCAAATAATTTCACCGAAATGTTTTTTTTTTTTGTTTTTCAAAATTCGATATGTTTTTTTTATCTTACATAGATATACCGGTAATTTCCGATACTTTTTAACAAAAAAATCGTACAAATTTGATTTAGAATAGCTTTTAACGAGTACTATAGTTTTCTAACGAATTTTGATTATTTATTTATTTTTTTATTTATATTGTCGTTAAAAAGTAATGGTTTGGCTCTCGTTTATCAGATCTGACAGGATGAGAGTTGTATAAATTATCATTCACATTTTTATTTATTTTTGTATTTTGCAGCTGCTTTAGTGTGTTTAGTTTAGTATTTCTCCTGCGCGATTACGTATTTATCTGATGGAAATTAATTTAACTTGCAAGTATTTACATTTTTTACATATTAAAACCATAAATATGTCAACATTTCGCCTTTTGAATAACTAATAATGGAAAAGCCATTTAGTGGCATACATTTCCCCTGTTAAATTCTATTATTTTATGGTGAAGTAGAACGAATAAACCTCAAAAAAGAGGAAGGAAAGACAAGAGTATGTAAATAAAATATGTAGAGAGTTAGCAAATGGTAAACAGTACTCCTTGTTAAATGAATGCGACCCGATAACCACACCATTATCTTGTTTAGTTTTCTATGGGCTCAGTTAGTTAAATAGTCAGAGTAATATGCATATCGTTACCCTAATTTAATTGCTTCTTAAAGTTTTTTGCTCTTTAACTTATTAACTAATAAACATATCAAGATTTTTAAAAATATATTAGGATAGGATATTGTAGAAGAAAAATTTAAATCTTTGCTAACTAGTGAAAGATACTATAGACTTCCATAAACTACATTTGGGTAGTGATGTGTACTATAAGTTTTCCACATGGACCAATTTTTGGGTTCAATTAATTTCTGCACTTAAATATTATAAATTTGTTGTCCGGCATAACTTATGCTTATACGAAATGAAAAAGTATTTTATTTTCATAGAAGGGAAGTGTATTACGCGATTGTGCTGATGTTATTAACGCGGTTAAACATTCGTCGTAAACCTTAAGCATACTAATAGGCTTTGAGACATAATGTTAATGAACACGAAATATTTTTTTTACTCAGGAACGATTTGGTTGAAATCAGTATATTATTTCCCCATACAAAACGACCTTCCGTATATGTCTTCAAAGCTCATAATTATGTTAAATTTTTCGTTATCGTAATATAATAAATATTCAATTGAAATAAAATCCGACATAAACGATAAGCAATGATATTGTTATATTGTATTAAAACCATTTGAAATATACTCATAACTGATGTAGGATATCATCGACTATATTTTCTTACTTGTTTAATATTAAGTTGTGTTTACTTAGAGACAGTTACATATTTATTTTTATATTTTTCGTCTTCTTGGAATACTCGTTTCACTCCAATCAATTCACAGTCACTTGTTTTATGCCTCTGGCTGTCAATTTTTAATTAATGTCCCCCTTGTACATTAGAGTGTACCATGAAGACTTTTTGTAGGAATACCTCCCAAATGATGCGTATTAATGTACTGAATATAAGAAAAATAAACAATACATATATTTTTTAAAGGATCCTTAGTTCCCTTCTAAAAAAGCTTTTCGGGACAGCGTTTTAAAATTCCGACCTTAGATTATTTGTGAAACAAAATATATAAAATTTTTTTGATATGAAAAATTACCTAATTTTCAGCCGAATACGAGAAAAACGTGCTTTTTTCGAAATAGTTTCAAAATTTTTGTAATTTATACAAACAAATATTTTTTGACATTTGATTTGGCCCATTTCAGAATTCCTGAATTTAGAAAAATTGCTGTTTTTTTGGAACATATTGTAATGCGATCAAGATTTTGCTCATAGGAACATATGTACATACATATGTATGTTTGGCTGTCTGTTACACAGGCCAACGAAATCATGAAACCGAATCTGATATCCGTTTTTCTCTCTCACCAATAATTTTCTCGCAATATAGCATTTATTATTCAGTATATTTTATATAATTATAAAAATATATTTGCGTTTAAGATCATAACAAGGTTTTTCGATGTCATCATAACACGGTTCTTAATCGGTTGATAGCATAATAACATTTCATTATGGTTTCAGGAAAATTTCCCAATATTTATTACATAGCTTGAGTTTGACCTTTACAGTTTATGGGTTAACTTTATTCGATTTTACTAAAACTTCAGATGTATGTTACCCATTAAGTCTGAACTTTTAATTCTAATTAGGGCTAATTCTCAAAAATATTACCAAACAAGAAAGAGTTTTATATTCGGCTATGCCGAACCTTATATACCCTTCACCATGATGTGTTAAAAAGAAGTCAGTACGAATTTTATTGCAAAAAATCATGAAATACCATTTGTAAAATAAAAAGGTAACAGAAAGTTTTATAGATTTTCATTTACACGAAAAAGTACCAAAAATTCCTATTTTATAGGTTTTCATTTACTCCGAGACCTACATATATACAGTGTCTCTCATAAGTATTCGAATTTAGGTGAACTATGAAAAGAAACCAAATTTAATAATATATTTTGTGTGCAAAAAAAATAAATTAATTTGTTATATTGTCAAGACATTCCTTAGGTTTGATATCACGCTTTTTAAAACTTGAAAAATTTACATTTACATAAATTAAATTAGCTTTTTTTTTAAAAAGTCCATAAAATTGCCTCACAAAAGTATACGAATTTTTCCTATACTTCATATTTGATCATATTATACGAAACACAAATTTTAGAATCGAATGGTTTTTATGCTTTAAATTGTTTTAAAGGGTTACTATCAACCGAAATGATATATTTTTGGCCCATTTGGTCCAAAATTTTTGGGGATTTGTACCCTCTTTTTATGTAATATCATTCAAATGGCGATTTTTTTGCAATATTTGTAGTATTTTCTCTTTTTTCCAGAGATAAAAGCAAAATTTGATATTGGGATTTAATAGAACCCTTGGAGTAACTAAAAATAGTATTTTTTGTTACAATAATCTGTATTTGAACGATCCAAGATATATTATTGATATCATTATTCTGTCGCTAATTCAATATATTGGAACTTAAGTCCATTTTCTAATACTAGGGTCAAAAATTTTCGGGAAAGTTTTCTTGTATATATTCTTTTAGATATCAGCTTTTATATATTTTAAGTTTTCAATGTATTGTGGAAGTGTACAACTCCAAAACATGCCTCGAAGAAACACCATTCAATATGGTAGTATCATTATTTTTATGCACCAATGACCTCCAG